TGGTTGAGCATTGACCTATGAACCAGGAGGTCACAGTTTGATTCCTGGTCAGGGCACATGCAGACTAGATCCCCAGTAGGGGGCGTGCAGGAGGCAGCCAATCAGTGATTCTCTTTTATCATTGATGTTTCTATCTCTCTCTCTCCCTTCATCTCTGCAATCAATAAAAAAAAATTTTTTTAAATAATCATTGCATTGGAAAGAGAAAGAATGGTTTTCGGTGTTCGTGTTTCCCACCCTCAAGTTGCCCAGTCCTTGTGCACACGCAGCTCACACGTGTTCTCCTCTGCAGACCAAATAAAGAAGTTGGAAGACGAGCGCAGCTCCCTGCAGGCCGCTAAGGCCGGGCTGGAGGAGGAGAACAAGACCCTGAAGCAGAAGGTGGAGATCCTGAACGAGCTCTACCAGCAGAAGGAGATGACGCTACAGAAGTACGGTTCTCCCGGGGCGTTGGCAGCAAGACGGTCACTTAACTAAAGGCGTGACTATCCGATCACTTTGTCTCCTTTTTAAAGATTACCAAGGTTTTCCATCCATGATTAAGTTAGAGTTGCCTTTTTTCCCTTTCTGCCCCATTTTCCATAACTTGCATTTTTCTTTCCATTCTAACCAGTTGTCAGAAATTATTTGAGGGGGAGTGGTGTTGGTACTAACAGTTACTGCTGCAGAAGTGGGGGTTTTTTGGTTTTTTTTTAATGATCCTTACCCTTTCTGTAGTCTTGAAAAATCCTGAGTGATTTACATACATTATTTTTAGTAAAGTAAATACTTCAAAAGGAATATTTAGCTATTGAAGATATATAAATCAAATACACTAAACATTACATAATGTAACCGTGCCAAGGATGTTGGCCTGTCTTTTAGATTTTCATCACCACATCTCGCAGAATGCCCCATCAGCTTTGATTGAGTGGCACATAATAATAGTATCTGTCCGTACTTTAATCTTAGCATCTTACTAGGTAACCGGTCTATTATAGCCATTCATAAAATACTGGCTGAAGTATTGAATTTTTCTCTTTGGTGTTAACCCTTTTTACTATAGCGCTTCTCTCATTTTGCTTCTGATTCATAGAAAATTAAGTTTCAAGTTAAGTGTCTTTTGAATCAAAACTATGTGCAGAGGGGTCCAAGGGTAACAAGAAAATAGTGTTTGTAAACCGTTAAATGTTACAACCATTGTCATTTATGTTACAGTAGATTGACAGCGTGAGCTGGCAGGTTATTGGGTTAAAGCCAGTGTCCCGTAGATAGTACACCGAATAGGGGACAGTCAGAGTCTCTTTCTCTTCAATGGACATTGCCAGTCCTTGGCTTTTCTCCTTATCACAATCCCACTGAAGCAGGCGGGAGTGGGATTGGGACCTAAAGTGTGGAAGTGGCTGTGGTTAAGTGCACAGACAGGAGACGTGTTTTAAAGACTCTCTCTTCAGTGGACTGTCTTCTCATGGTGCCAGCCTTCAGCTGAGAAACAGCCCTTCCGGGACAGGAGTAAGAGAAGCAGTTACAGGTCTCCCCGGGGTAGGAATCGGAATCTTCCCCTGCTTTACCCTGATGAGCTGGACTGTCGGGCAGATTCGCCCTGGCTTCCCACAGGAGGCAAACGAGCTTTCATTGTCTCCAGTCCCAGAACGCTGCCCGTGGGCCGCCTAGTGTTTTCTCATGTCTTTGTTTATTTGTGAAGAAGTAGAGAATTGCGAAGAGAAGTTGGGAAGTGCAGGTGATTTGCCCAAGGCCAGGGCTTGGCTCGCATCCCCAAATGGCAGGTGTGAGGGAACCTCTGTGAATCTGTGTGCACGTCTGAGCCTCTGGGAGAGGATGGGGAGGAAGGGGTTGAGGATTCGAGTGGAGGCATTGAGACAGGCACTGGGGGAAAGGAGACACACTTTCACTCGGCGACTGGCTCTTCCCTAGGAAGCTGAGCCAAGAGGAGTTTGAGCGGCGAGAAAGGGAGCAGCGGCTGTCAGCGGCCGACGAAAAGGCGGTTTCAGCGGCAGAGGAGATAAAAACCTACAAGTGAGTTCAGGCTTTTAACAGAAACCACTCGTTCAGTTTGCACAACAAACTGGCACATAAATAATGGTGAGAGGACATGAGTACATTTAATTTGCACAAGGAAAAAAGAAATTTTCACTTAGTAAAGGAAAAATATGTTTAATAACAATTTCCCAACACCCAACACTGGTAAATGTAAGGGAACTTGGTTCATGCTGGCAGATCTGGGTGGTTTAAGAGCTGTTTTAGGAAGGCAGTTTGCTCTCTGGTGTATCAGACCTTTAAAATGACCGTGACATTGATGGGCCTAGTGCTCAGCTCTAGGTAATGGTCCGTAGATATAATTAAAGGAAGAAGCTTTATGGAGGGAGCTATTGATAGCAGGCTTATATGAGAACATATTAAAGAACAGTTAAAGAAATTTTAATGTACCAACTCATAATCTCTGGCTGCTACAATAAATAAGGACATTAGGTAGCATTAGTTTTCATTATAACCATGTAAAATACGTTTCTGTTAGGATGAAACCTGTAAGGGTACAGTTACAGTAAAGGGAACATGGGAGGATCATGTAACATCGAATTCAGTTGTGCTGGACGGATAAAAGCAAGTGTATTTTTAGGTGGAGAATCGAAGAGCTGGAGGATGAATTGCAGAAAACGGAGCGCTCCTTTAAAGACCAGGTGGGTATACCGCCCGGCAGCTGCAGGATTCTTTGGGGTCTCTGACAGGCCAGTGTAATGAATCCATAACCATATTTTTTGACGTGTTATCTTTTTCAGATTTCTGCTAATGAGAAGAAAGCGCACGAGAACTGGGTAAGGCTTCTTCCCTTCCCTTTATCTGGCGCATAGTCGACCACAGCTGAACTTGGATACGTTTTCCTCCAACAGCTCAAAGCTCGTGCGGCAGAAAGAGCTATGGCTGAAGAGAAGAGGGAAGCAGCCAATTTGAGACACAAGTACGTGGCTTTGTTCCCTGTTTTGTCAGCTCTTGGAGGTCTTCAAGGCTGTGCTGAGTGGTATTTAATAAGAATTGGTTTCCGATTTCATATTTAAGTCCATTCTTTCTCCTTATTCAAGGTTATTAGAATTGACCCAGAAGATGGCGATGCTGCAAGAACCTGTGATTGTAAAACCAATGCCCGGGAGGCCCAGCACACAGAACCCTCCACGGAGAGGTGGGGAGCGCTCTTGAAGGGCAGCAATCCGTATTTTGGTGCAAACTGAATAGAGGTTGCTTTTTATTTCTGTGTGTAATATAACGATGCCCCAGAAACAAGCCTAAGAACTTAACACAGTGCGGACCAGTAGTTCTAGTGCCAGCTTTACCCAGTGGCCAGATAAGTTTTCTGTTGAACGAGTAGAAAAAACGTTATACATAAATGCTAAAGGCACGCCTTAAAATTAAATACCCATGGCATTTTGAAGTTACTTATTACATGTTCTTACAAGCTAATATCATTTTAAAGAATTCTCGTGATTGGCCACAAGCCTTAGAACAGAAAACACGAGAATTCTCGTGATCCGTCCGCAACATGTTAAAGGAAAGAGGTGGCCTGATGTCGTAACGGTGGACTGTCACCTGCAGGCCCCCTGAGCCAGAATGGCTCTTTCGGCCCCTCACCCGTGAGTGGTGGAGAATGCTCCCCGCCACCGAGAGACCCACCCACGAGACCTCTCTCTGCCACGCTCAGTCGAAGAGATGTGCCCAGAAGTGAATTTGGTGAGTATTCATATTCACGTTACCTGTAAACTGTTTCAAGAGCACTTTCCCCTTTTATTTGAGAATTCTAATGCAAACTTTTTAGACTCTGTGCCTAACATAGAGAATTTCTTAATTTTACTTATTTCGAATAGTCTACTGCAAGATCTGCTTTAGAACAGAAACCATCTATTTGTTATTATTAATTTTATTTATCTTATATATAAATATGTAAAGTATATTTACACTTAAGTAAAAGCATAAATAATACTGTTTTTGTTTCTATTTTTATGTTTTACTGTGATGTGTAAGCCTTTATCTGTAAAATAAATTTCTATGGAGTTCCCTTTTGAAATATTACAAAAGTAGCCTTAAGACTTTAGAATTTCTGCAGCAACCATTTCTCACTATAGTATGAAATGCTAGGTCTTTTTTCTATTCATAACTATGTCTATGAGACTCGGTAAGATAAGGAAGTCATTACATGCAAACTGAAAAAGGTGAGCATGCGCTCCTGCATCAGCCTGCGGCGTGCAGTCCCTAACCAGTCCGTTCATCGCAGGGTTTGTTGCCCTTCTTTCTAAGACAGCTCCTACTTTAATTCTCCAAGTCTGGGCATAAATTGTGATGTCCCCTCATAGGTGCTGGGGCCCTGTTTTTAATGTTGCTTTCAGAGTTGAGCCCTGCCCCGCCCACAGTTGGTTTATTCCTCCTGAAAATCCACGCAAGGGCTCTGTTCTTTCTTTCTCAAGGTTCAGTGGACGAGCCTCCACCTCCTCTCCAGTGCTCTGAGGCACCTGGGAGCCCCTCTGCCTCTGGTAGGGACCTGGTGTGTTCAAGGTCTAAAATCATGGAGGCAGCCGGCCAGTGTGGCTCAGTGGTTGTGCCTGAGCCTATGAACCAGGAGGTCACGGTTCCATTCCTGGTCTGGGCACGTGCCCGGGTTGCGGGCTTGATCACCAATAGGGGGTGTCTAGGAGGCAGCCGGTCAATGATTCTCTCTCATCATTGATGTTTCTATCTCTCTCTCCCCCCGACCCTTCCTCTCTGAAATCAATAAAAATATATTAAGAAAACAACAACAAAATCATGGAGGCAGGGGGCAGAGGGGTTTTTATTCTTCCTCAAAGAGTATGTAACTCAGAGGAAGTCTGACTCATCCTCTGGCTTCGACAGACCCCGGGTCTGGTGCAGCTCCCATGATGAACAGCAGCCCAAGAAGCGCGTCCCCGTCCAGGGTGGGTGAGGGCAAGGTACGTATTCCCGGAAGCACTGCGCTGTGCCCGCAGCCCTCTCTGCGCCTCGTCCATCACTGTGTGTGTGTGCGGTTATCTCTCTACTGTCTCATTTATTTTTTAAAAAGCAAACGGTTCCCCAGGAGTTTGAAGGCCCTTCCGTTCCCAGCACCACGCCTTTGGCAGAGCATCCAGGAGCAGTGAGTACTGAGGCTAAGGACTGCCCTGGGCTTGTCACACCTAGTGCCTTTCTGGAAAGGACACGCAGGCCCTGGCACGAACCTGCCTGCGTGAACTTGCACGGCCGTGTGAGCTTCCTCTGGCCTTGGACTTGCGAGTGATTCTCTGCTGCTGAAATCTGGCCGGTTGACTGGTCTCTGTTTTGGTTCGGTGATTAACCCGTTTGGAGTGCTATAATTAACTCAAACACGTGCACAGGCATCACTCCACCTTACACCGTGTGCTTCCGTGTTGAGCGCTCTCAAGGAAAGTAATCCACCGTGTGGGGCGTAACTCATCGTCAGTCCCTGTGCTGGGAAGTCTGCTATTTAAGACCCTCTCCAGTTGTGCAGTGGGCAAACCCTAATTTGAATAACCTGCCATCACAGCGTGGTAACAGAAGGATGTTTGCCGGGGGTGAAACACTGACTAGTGAAAACCTGTCATTACTGTTGTGCCAGTTCCGGCGAGAGCCTTAAATGAGGTTCCCGTGAGAGTCTTGTCTCTCATGTAGCGGCTCTTGCTGGGAGTCCTCTGTCATACCTCACAGGGCTTCTCTAGCTTGAAATAGAAGTGCATGCGATGGAATTATTTAGAATTTTCAACCCAGTTTCCCGTGAGGAAAGATTAGTCCTTATCTCACAATGTACAGTATCACTGGTGCGTGAAGGTGAGGATTAGCGCCATGACTACCTAACTTCACCAACATGGAACATTGTTTCTGTTGGAAAACATTTCCCATTCGGTGCAGGACCCCGGAACACACCTCTTCTGACAGGTCTTTTCTCCAGGGGCGGCTTGAATAAGACCCAAGACCCCTTTAAGTCAAGGCTTCAGAGAGAATAGCCTGCTTTGTTAGGGCGCAGTGATGGGGAGAGCAGCTGTGACCCTGACTCCTGCCTTAGCCTCCCGTGCTGGGTGACCTTGGCAAAGTGTCTGCTGCTCTCTGTGCTCTTTGATGTTTACAACAAGATGATGGTACTTAGAGACCTAGAGACCTGAGAGTTAGATGAAAGGAAATTGAAGGTACTCTGAAGAGTAGCTATGATGACAGGTGTAGAGAATGGATTTTTGTTCCCTTCCTTCTCTCCATTCTTCGTCTGGAAATAATGAGCTGTTGTGGTGAGGGGAGGGATGTGGGAGGGAGGGGATGCTTTGGAAACAGATCACTGTGTATAGCATGGTGTGAAGGACATACCAGTAGCAGCATGACCACAGCAGAACTCACTGCTGTGCCTCTGCCTGCCAGGCTGCCACTGGGACCAGTGGGAGGAGGGCAGTGTCTTGCACTGGTTCTGCCCACTGGCAGGTGCCCGGCATCGGCTTCTTTGGGGTTCTGCTGGTGCTGGTGCTTCTGCCTGTCATTCCCGAGTGTTTCAGACCTGAACCGTTTCTGCTCTGCAGGTGAATATGGCTGCAGAAGGGCCCCCTCCATTCCCAGGCGTGCCCCTCATGGGAGGCCCTCTACCACCGCCCATTCGCTATGGACCACCTCCTCAGCTCTGCAGGCCTTTCGGGCCTCGGCCATTTCCTCCACCGTTTGGTATGATGATGGACTTGCCAACCACCCTTCTGTGGGCTCCTTGCTAAGATTTTAACAGTTACTATCGCGGGCTCTGCAATGAAAGGGTAAAGCTGGCAGAATCCCTTTGAACTTGTCTTAAAGTTTCTTAGGACACATGGGGGGTGGGGGAGCGGCTGCATAATCTCCCTCCGCTGGGGTGGGCAGAATGGTATCTCTTGTAGACAGCAGAAAGGGGCTGCTTATAGGAAGCCAGAAATATTACTGCTGCAGATGTTCACTGAACATCTGGGGCTGCGTGCCGGGCTCTATGGTGGATAGAACTCACTACTCTCCGAACTCCGAGAGCTCAGGTTGTCCTATAGGACCAGCTACATACGCCATATGTGTGAATGCGTCAGAGTATAAAGGGAAGACTAAACCCTCACTCCCCACCTTGGGAATAAATGGGAAGGAAGTTTGAAAGAGAAGGTGGCGTGGAACAGCTACCTAGTGGATGTTGCTGAGTTTAATTAGGTGGAGCTGGAAGGCCTTCCCAGAGGGGCGAGCACCTCGATTGTGATGATGAGCCCCACATGAACTTTTAATGGACACAGCAGTAGACAGGATTCCTTTACCAAAACTTCTTTACCTTGTGAAACCCGTTTTCTCATAATCGGTCAAATACAAGCCAAGCTCTCGTGAGATAAAGATGGCAGACTAGTGACGTAGGTAGAGCCATGTTGCAATCCCGCTTGTGCTGTTTCATGGCTGGCCGGCCAGAGGCCTGTCACTTGAACCTGCTGAGCCTGTGTGACTGATGTATACAGTGGGGCTCCCACCCCCGGCTTCTAGGGTTGGGAGAAATGAAAGATGAACATTCCTGGAATCCCCTACACGGAAGTATGTTCATACGTGACGCCATTTCTATCTTCCCAGGTCCTGGTTTCCGGCCACCTCTAGGCTTAAGGGAATACCCACCGGGCGTGCCACCGGGGAAACGGGACGTGCCTTTCGACCCTCGAGGATTTGTACCGGGACACCCTCATTTTAGACCTGGAGGCTCCCCTGGCCCTCGGGAGTACTTCGCTCCTGGCCCCCGACTACCGCCCCCGAGCCACGGCCCCCCGGAGTACCCTTCACCTGCTGCAAGAGACTCACTGCCTCCTGGATCCAGAGAGGAGCCCCCACCTGCCTCTCAGAGCGGCAGCCAGGGCCCCTCCCAGACCTTGAAGCAGAGCCCATAACTCCGACACACAGCCGGAGAGGAAGTGGACTGTGCACTACCCATTACAGTCTCAAATCCAAACGTTTCAATAAAGTTAGTTTTTAGACCTAAGCTGCCCCGGCAGTGTGCATTTTTGAGCCAAACAATGAAAAAATACCATTTCTCCCCTCAAATGAACATCACCTCGTAAGCTAGAACCCCCTCCCAACTTTGAAATGTGCAATAAAGAATACCTGTGTCTTAGTTCGTGTAGCCTATGTAACTGTTCAATGATTTAGGACGTCATGAAAAATATGAACATTTCCTGTGGAAATGCCATAAGAACATGTATTTCCATTTATTATCCTGTTTTTAGTGGACACCAGTTGAACGCAGAGCAACGGTGTTCATAAGCTTGAATTTTTAAAGTATCTGGTCGCAAGGACTGTTACGCTAAAAATGTTTACTAAGAAATCACTGAACTTTATCTCCCCTCTTGCTGAAGTTCTTTGTAGTGGAAGTTCATTAAAATTTGGTTATTAATGTTTCCCAAGAGTCTGTGGATTCATTCGACTGTTTTCTCATGAGACTTGTGCCATTTGGAAAGGTGAAAGCTCGGGCTCCCAGCACCAAGTTCCCTGTTGCTCCCGGCTCAGCAGGTTCGGCCTCCGTCACTCAGGCCCCAGGACTGAGGGCTTCCTCCACTTCAGAGCAGCCATGGGCCATCTGACAGCACTCAGGCGTTCTGTGACTCCCTGCCTGAGTCATTCCCGAAGATGAGTTTACAGCAGGTGCAAGGAGTGTCTGCCCTGATGTTCTGTTGCTTTTGCCATTTGTGCATTAAGGGTGCACAACAGAAGCCCACCGGTTTGGTTCAGTGGTTGAGCATTGACCTGTGACCCAGGGAGTCAAGGTTCAATTCCTGGTCAGGGCACAGGCCCGGGTTGAAGGCTCGATCCCCAGTGTGGGGCATGCAGGAGGCAGCTGATCGATGATTCTCTCATCATTTATGTTTCTCTCTCTCCCTTCTCTGAAATAAATAAAAATAGGTATTTTTTTTTTAAAAAAAAGGGTGCACAACAGAAAAATGAAAGCCATGTCTTGTGACCATAAAAGGAAATTTCTTTTATTAAAAAAAGTAAAGTCTAATATTTCGTCCATACCTTGCCTATGATTTTCAATGAATATGGCGAAAACCATCAGGACAGTAGAATACTCTGAGAAAGAGTGATTTAAGATTTGAAGGCTTGTAACATGCCCTAGGTCAGCAGCCATGGGCTGACCACAATTCTTTTTGGTGACTAATTCTTCTCCACAGTTAATATTTGAATGTTGGCATTTGTATTTAAAAATCAGTATATCTAAGAATTTGGGGTTACACCATACTTAAAAAGTACTTACTACACCATGGATTTATTTATTTTAAATTTTAATTTTTTATTGAAATTTTAGAGAAAGTGGGAGAGAGAGAGAGACATTGATGTGAGAAACACGATCAGTTGCCTCCTGTTCATACTCCGACCAGGGATTGAACCCACAACCTGTGTATGTGGCCTGACCAGGAATCAAACCTGCACCTTTCAGTGTACGGGATGATGCTCCAACCAACGGAGCCACACCGGCCAGGGCTACACCATAGTTTTAAAACAATGTTTCTTAAGAACTAACTCTTTAGACCCTTTAAATTATAGTAACTTAATAGTATATTTTAAGAAGTTTAAGATTTAGATTAAATCAAAATGATAAAATGCTGATATCCCTGTTAACTTTTTGACTATACTCTCCTGTTCTCTGAAGGTCTATGATATATTACCTACACCAGGGCCTGTCATTGTTACATTTACTCCACTAAGAACACCCGATTACAGAAAGCAAAAGCCTCACTGTGAAACCTAATCTTCCTTCATACTAAACCACTACCACATACACCACTTTAGATTCTAAAGATAAGCACCTTCGAAAGAAGATAACCCTTTCAAAATCCATAAGCAACACATCTTCAGCAAAAGAATTCCATCAATAGGTCCTCCCACTTAATATCAAGAATAGAAGAAATCTGAGAAGAACTCCATTGTTAACAGCCAAAGTTATTTTTTTAACCATGTAAAATAAGAGTAAATCACAAGTGGAATATTTCAATCTCTTTTAGGACATAAAATAATGATGAACTTAATATAATTTCTATTTTTAAATAGCATTTACATGTAGATTATACCAGCTAGGAAGACAATCAAGTAGGAAAAGTAAATTGAACCTATTTTAAAATCAATCTAAGCTGGAGTCTTTGTGCCCCTAAAGCTTTGTGGGGTATTTACCTCATCTTCCTGGAAAGTCAGGAAGCTGTAGAGAATTCCCACGTCGCCGACCTGAGCACCTCCGCCCCGTTCGGGATGCCGCCTCTCAGCCCTCTGGTGGCATCACTTGGGCAGTGGAGCCGGGCAAGCTGCCAGTATCCAGAAAGGGCAGGGACCATCCCTCAGTTACGTCACACTCGGCCATCTCGCAAGTCACATCTAGTGCAGAAGCCATCTCCAGTCATGGTGTGTCTGGGCGTGGTTTTTAAAATCATCTCATTTATGAAGCAGCAATGTTTCAGCCAGAAAGCATTTCTACAGTTGTGGTTATTGTTCAATGGCTGGTTTTTTTTTTTCTCATTTGAGAGTAAATTTAAATAATTTACTGTGGGATGTGGAGTATTCTGTGTCTACTGCTTCAAGACAATCACTTGCTTTGTTATTTCATTCAGTTCTGAATTAAAGCTAAGCTACTCACACAGTGTTCAATTTAAGCTTCTTTAATACTGATGAAAGGCATGTGTAGTTCATATAAAACATACTTCGTGAACAGTAGCAGATGCTTCATATAAATTAACACTTTGATATACATGTCTTACGGTCTATGAGAAAAGAGAAAGAACAATATATCGGTTTTGCTACATTTTAATAGTAGGTTTTTTGAGAGAGAATTTTTTAGGTCTTGTCAGCAACAATCAAACAAAAGGTCCTGAGTCCAGCAGGGTACAGAGCGCTGCCCCTACCTCAGTTTACATGACGTGGAGGAAGTGTGGTTCTTGCCCCTCGAGGAGCTTACAGTCTGGGGGGCTGACAACTCACAGTCTAAGAGTTGAGTGAACAACGAAGTTATTTAAGGCAATTCCTCATCCCCTCCAGCTACTGTGGACGGAACCGTTCTGAAATTAATCTAATCAAGATGAGAAACCAGACTAAACCTGGCTGAGAATTCTTCCAGGCTCCTAAAGTTCCCGACATCCATCTCAGTAAACAGAATCGACCCAGCGGACAACTGAAAAGATTAAATCTCTTGAAGTGCAAGGGCTGGGACAACTTAATTGTGGCCACTTATTTTAAAAAGCAAACACACTGAACAGTATGACAGGTTATTACACTAGTTTAACAACAGGCCAAGTACTGCACCACATTCCCCTCGCGCCAGCACTGGTCATGGAAAGTAGTGACATGAACTATGTGGGCTCTACAGAAAGCCCAGCCCGATTTAATGTGTATCAAACAGGTGCCTCGTGTATACTATGAAAGTTTTATTTATGCCCCATTAAGTAAAAAATAATGTAAATAGTCAAATTATAACAAGCTAATGACCTGCATATTCCCATATGGATGAATGGTGATATATCTAAACAGGAAATAAAGGGCAATTCTATCTACCTATGTAAAAAAAAAAAAAAAATAGAGTGTCTAAATTTCGTTCGCATACTTGTCCTGTAAGAGGTATGGTTTCACAATCAGTTGTCAGAAAACCAGCAGTTATTCCTGCAGTATCTCGTTAGCATCTGATTCAAATTTCTGTTCCAAACTCTCCAAAGCAGTTCCACACTATCCTACCCACATCGGCCCAAAGTTTGACATGAATTCAAAAAACCAAAAGAGCGTAGTGGAGCAGAAGGGAGTAGACGTGTAAACTCTAGTACATTCTTATTGCTGTAGTTAAGTTTGAAGATGAGCACATCCTACCCACAACAGTGTTGTTCCAGGAAGCAGGGCAGTAGTGGTCAATTAGGAAGGAGAATATTATCTGCACAATCAATAAAAAAGTAAAAACATGTTTCAAAACCTACAATAAGCCTGTATCCAAAGGAGTCTGACATGTCAGTGACGTGCTGGACATGGGTTCTGTGCTGTAGCTTTGCAGGGGGCTCCCTCTGGCCCGCTGGCCTGGCAGGGCCTGCTTCCTGCCTGCTGAAGGGAGAGGATTCGACAGAGCTACGATGGTTCTAGTGAGTGGTAACATTCACAGAAGTTCCAGGTTACTCATGGCGGGGTCATTCCTTGTGCAAAGTTTGATGTAGATGAAGATAAAGTGGTTTCTTGGTCAATAATTGCAATTTCTTCCTTTTAAAATCAGTGGGTTTCTTGTATCTGTAACCACAATAGAAAAACCACTGTTTAAAATACGTTGATAATCGATCTATTTCAAGGTCACATACTAAGAAGAAATACTAGTCAGCATTCCATTAGTACTGATTCCATACCCGCATCACTTACAGTTCTATTACAATGGGCCCGGGTTTAATCTCATCCATCTCCATGAAGGCGAAACACTTGGTACTGGTAAACCTTTTTTTAGGCTTGTAGTGTTTGAATTCAAAGAAGATAGCTGCACCTAAGGGATGGAAAAAGCATTAGCCACGGACAGCACCATTCTTGACAATACATTGTCTTTGATCACCAGAAGCATATGAACAAGCAACTGGCATCATTTTATAAAGTAACCTTTGCTATAAGGTCTGATGGTATGTCTGTGGCTGTCACTCCAAACTCTAGCAAAATTTCTGAGCCAGACTGATCGAAGAACGGCCCCGTGAAATGAGAATAGCCTAGGACAGTGATGGCGAACCTTTTGAGCTCGGCGTGTCAGCATTTTGAAAAACCCTAACTTAACTCTGGTGCCGTGTCACATATAGAAATTTTTTGATCTTTGCAACCGAACCTTTTGATCTCGGCGTGTCAGCATTTTGAAAAACCCTAACTTCACTCTGGTGCCGTGTCACGTATAGAAATTTTTTGATATTTGCAACCATAGTAAAACAAAGACTTATATTTTTGATATTTATTTTATATATTTAAATGCCATTTAACAAAGAAAAACCAACCAAAAAAATGAGTTCGCGTGTCACCTCTGACACGCGTGTCATAGGTTCGCCATCACTGGCCTAGGAAGATGAGCTGGCATGCTTATAAACGTGAAGAAAGTACAACACGCGTGTTATAGGTTTGCCATCACTGGCCTAGGAAGATGAGCTGACATGTGTGTAAACGTGAAGAAGGTACAGCATATTCATTAGTATTCATATCAGTTCAAACTAGAGTCACTGTACATAACGAATTCAAAGCTGGGAAAAATGAATGGAGTCAACTTCTGAATACAGTCCTATTTTTAACACCCTGCGAGTCAAGTCGTCAAGAGCACGGCTCAATAAAACAAACATACAGTGGGGCCTTGACTTACGAGTTTAATTCGTTCCGTGACAGAGCTCGTAACTCAAATTACCCGTATGTCAAATCAAAAAGTGAACGAGTGAGACACGTGATGCTGGGCTGATGTTGTGGCATTCACTGTGACGTTCGCTGCGCCAGCTAGCCGTGGGGTATCTGAAGCTGGCTCGTAACCCGAATTTTAGCTCGCAACTCAAAGCAAAAAATCGGCCAAGAGACAGCTCGTATCTCAAAGAACTCATTAGTCGGGACACTCATAAGTCAAGGCCCCACTGTAATCTAAGAGCCCGTGAAACACGCCCCCTCACCCTACATCAGAAACATTTCTCAGAGCAATGGAGTAAAATGGAAAACAAAGTTTTGTTGTATTTTCCTGCAGAAGGCACACTTCACACTGACATTTCTTGGACATTATTACTTAAGCACGTCCTACCTACTAATGCTGCTAACACAGCGATTCTCAAACTCTGGCGGGCCCAAGCATTTGCATCTCACCAGGAAGCTGCTCACACTCAGAGAATCACCTTCTACCAGGAGCGCTGCAGGACAAATCTTTTATTTTTTAAAATGCTTTTATTGATTTCAGAGAGGAAGGGCGAGGAAGGGAGACAAAATCATCAATGATGAGAGAGAATCATTGATCAGCTGCCTCCTGCACGCCCCACACTGGAGATCGCCCCACACTGGGGATGGAGCCCACAACCAGGACGCATGCCCTGACTGGGAATCGAACTGCAACCTCCTGGGGTTCATAGGTCAACAATCCACCACTGAGCCACACCAGCCGAGCAGGACCGTCTTTTAGGACACAGGAACAGCAGCACCGATTTGAGAAGGAAAAGATCAAGTGTTTTAGAGCAGCGGTCACCAACCGTGGACCACTGGTGGTCCGTGAGGTGTGAAAGGTTGGAGCCCGCTGTGTTAGAGATGTGGCAACTGTTCCACAAGCACATGTATATCTTGTGCGATCCTCCCACGGGGTTTGAACATGCAAACACCACAACTGAATCTCGGGTGGTAAAGGGACTCCGAAGTCTTCTGTTCAAAGAACACTGGCATCCGGTGGACAAAGGCAGGAGAAACATTTCATCCAAAGAACCGTGCAACTTGGAAATGTGACTTCACCTTTTTAATCATTTGCTCATGTCCTTCCCCGTCCTCCTGCCAACTAACGCAAACGATAGGGTCTTTCTACCCAATAGATTCCGCTGGAAAAAGTGTTTCTTTCAGCTACTAGAGCCTTAATCCTTAGGGAGCCCTGCTTCCCCAGCCCTTCATATAAGAAAGCTTTCATTCTATTCTGTTGTTAAGGATGATAAGATTTTACTGTGGAAGACTGCTTTATTATGTGTTATTTATTATACGACTAGATAACACAATTCCCGATTCCCACATTTAAATATAAATACATATCTCAATCAATTCCATAAACACGATGTGACATTTCCTTTTTCCAACGCTGCTGGGTCCACCAGGCCCACACACATGAACAAGAGGAGAATTCTGAGCACAGGGGGTCAGTTACTGACGATTACACACCTTTGGTTAATTTTTCAACATGCTTCTGGAGCTCAATGTCCACATTAAAGTGAACGTAGGTATCTTCTTTTCGTGAAGCCACAGGAGTATCTTGCACAGGAGTTAAATCTATTCCGTTCAGATCTAGAGAGGAAAAGAATTTCTGTTCAGCAGCCTTCAAATGCACAGACTCAAACACACAGGAACCCCCGGGTTCTGTTTCCTAGAGGCCGGCAGGCTCCTAGCTAACGGGAGCTCCCACCTGGTGTGGGCGGCCACCTGAAGGAAGGCCTGTGGTCTCCAGAGGTATGTGGAGGGAGCTGAGGAGCGAGGGGGGGACCTCAGAGACCAGCAGAGGAAGGCTTGCCATGACTGGGTACCTGAGGAAGTTTGGAGAGCACACAACGTGATCTTATAGTTCAGAGGTGAAGGAGCATTGCGTCTTCCCCAGGAAACAGGCCATTATATTCCTGTGTGCAATAACTTCGGAATGTGAATAATATCCCTACTTCCCACCTGATCAAGTGCATGGCATGGGAGGGCCTGTGAACTGACCTCTATCAGAATTCCCCTGTTCTATTCAAGTCGGAGGACCAATCGGACATGAAAGCTGCCAATGAAACCTCTCCATACGTGAATGCTTTTGCATGTATATAACATACATCCTGGTTCCATTTGCTGTAACATAACCTGATTTACAACAGCCAGATGGTGCACTATGTATGGAGCATGGTTTTAATTTCCTGGAGCCGGGAATCTTCCAGTTTAATCAAATTCAATGGGGACTCGCTTAAGGACTCCTCGGTGTTTTACTCCACAGGCCCATCTTAGGGGACTTAAAACGATTTAGCACATTTCATTATTTCAGTTCCTAAAGATATTTACACAAAAACATATTTCAGTCCAAGGTGTATGCAAAGGTAACATAATAGCTATCACGGTATCATGACATTGTGTGTTTTACCGTGTATATTCCCAAATGAGATATGCGGCTTTGCTAAGGGCCTATGAACAGTGTCGGGCACAAATGCTTTCCAGTCGACCTTGGACTTGATAACTGCACATCAGGAGATGAGGCAGCACCGCACTAGTGCTGTGGATCGTGGTTTCTCCATGTCACAATTTTCCTCCGTGGCCAAGTTCCTTTTTCTTTTATTTGGTACTAATGAACCCACATGCGTCTGAATTTATCTCTGCCTTTGGTGAAAGCTCTCTCCAATTCATTGCAGTCCAGATCTGTTTCATTGATTTGCCTCAAACTGCAGATTAACTGTGGGTTGGATTAACTGTGTTGTCATTTCTGAATAATTGTATGACGACTTCATTCTCAATCACTCAGTCACTATTTTTAAAAGGCCACAGAGTGCTTTACAATAAAGTTCTGTATAAAATGCGTGGCGATGCAACAAAAGAACTCAACTGCTGTGGTTCCCCTCTTAAGCCAAAGACAGAAAAAGTTGTTTTCAAGGCATCAATCATCGGATAGTAAAAAAACAAATTCTAGGACTAACCATGTTTAACGCCTAGAGTGTCGGGGAGCGCGATCCCGCTCCTCCTGTCTTTCGCCAAAAGTGCCGGGAGCGCTATCAAAGCTTTGAAATGGCATCCAGTTCTAAGTCTGTTTTTATTAGTGATGATGATATTGCTAAATATGTCAATGTAGTAAAGGTTTCCTTAATTTTTTGAATATGTAACTTCATTTACTTGCGATTGATCATTTTTTTCCTAAACTGCTGTAAAATCAGCAAAAACGCCTTGGGAATTTTAGCATAGTTCCTAGGATATTGGTTGGCACTCAAAGGGTTAATAACCTTGGTAACATAGTTCAGGACAAGAAACACGCCACGTTTTAGCGTCCCCCAGGACTGCGTTCTGGGTGTGGATGTTTACGGATATGTCCTGTTTCCCTTCTCCACGGATGATTCATCGACGCCCTGACTCTCGCCCACCTGGGCTCGGCTCTCCTAGACAGAAACGAGGGGGCCTCGCGTGGAGGCACCAGGGGACCGGAGAGCACGGCTGTGCAAAGGGAACCACACACCCTTGGGAGGTGGGAGACATTTTTTAAACATGTTTCCTGAAGGATGTCTTTGCCGTGAAGACAGTGCGTATGTCTAGGCAGCACCCTTGATGGAATTTTAAGAATAAAAGACATAGGGGGAAAAACCTCGAAAGCAAACATGAGTGTAAGTTATAACAGGAAAATGCTTTTAGTAAATCTCTCAGAAATGTTTGGAGAAGGAATGATGCCCTCCTCTCGGGGATCTTGCCTCACTGTAGAATGAATGAAAAATGAGCTGTCATAGACAGGAGAGTCCCGCCGCCCCCATTTATCCCAATGAGAAACAACATTTTATAGAAGTCACCAGAGGGAAAACATGGAGGCAGTTATTTACCCTTTACACTGACTGTGATGTAGGGGTCAATGCACTGCCCGGCATCTTTCAGACCGATCTTCTCAATTCGGATCGTTAGCAACGTCATTCCGGGTTCTGACGGCAACCTCGGTAATAAAGTACCTGGTAACAGAGAAACAGCCATAGAAATGAGCTCCACTGGTAATTTCAGAGTCAGTATTTTACGTTATTTGCTTTCCTACCCACCCCCACCCCCCAGGGCCAGGCGGAATGACCAGTGTGATTGATTAAACAAGTACCACAACCATGCACAGGAAAGCGTGAACAGAGCTGGGCCGAGACTATTACTCTGGGAAAGGCCTGCTCCCAAGGTCAGCCCTGGGCACGTGTCTGGGAACCTGGATTCGGGAGGGTTCCCACAGCCCCTGATAGGAACGGCCACGGTGCCTAGCTGTCTGCACAAACAAGGCGATCTATGCTGAGTGCCTGCTTTCCTCTGGGAGGAGGAACTTTGGCCTGTGCCCGGCAGAGGGTGGCTAAGTGATCAGCCCAGTACCAGCTCGGGCACTGAGTCCCTACTGTGCTGGCCGACAGAACACATCCTCATGTGCTGCCCCCATTTGTCTCTGGGGGAATTAATCACAACTTGACTCTACAGCAGTGATGGCAAACCTATGACACGCGTGTCAGAGGTGACATGCGAACTCATTTTTTTGGTTGATTTTTCTTGGTTAAATGGCATTTAAATATATAAAATAAATATCAAAAATATAAATCCTTGTTTTACTATGGTTGCAAATATCAAAAAATGTCTATATGTGACACAGCACCAGGGTTAAGTTAGGGTTTTTCAAAATGCTGACACACCGAGCTCAAAAGGTTCGCCATCACTGCCCTGCAGGGAGGACTCCCGGAAGCTCGCGCCTGGCTTCCCCACTTGCTCGCATACCTTTTCCCCCTGCTGGTTCTGTTCTTGTACTTTTCTCACTGCAATACATTATAGCTGTGAGTACAACTGTATGCTGAGTCCTCCTAGCGAATGACCAAACCTGAGGGTGGTCTTGGGACCCCGACACAGTAAGATACTTTCAGACCACACTTCCAAAATAGCTCCTGCCAATAACATGGCCATAAGCATTTGCTTCAGACTGACACGGGCTCTGGAGATGTCTTCCTCCCCACTAGCGAGAACCAAAATCAGTTCCAATCGCCCTGACCTGGGATTAAGTTACGACTATTTTAAAACAAAGATACCCACCGGGAACTCTGGCAGGAAAGGAATCAGGAGACCCTGCTCCAGCACCACCCTCTTCCTCATCTTCTTCAAATTCCAAATTCTCTTCTTCACCAGGTGCTAAAATTCTTCTACATGCAAAAGGACAAACATACAATGAGCTACAAAACCAAGTATTCTAGGGAAGCCTCCCAGCTGCTCACTTCCCAGGTAAGATGCTGATATAAACAATGTTGACACAAACAGGTGTAAAATAAGAAAACGAGTATGGGTGCGTATTTACTTTACCTTAAGGGGACGGGCTGAACGTCAAATGGGAATTCTTTGTTATAGGTAAGAATATTCTTTAGGACTAGAATAAAAAGAGAAAGGAACATGAATTCTTCTATGAATCAAATTTAAAATGTTACCACAAATGACTGTTTTTAATCAATTTTCTCTGCATAGTAATAATTTTTGAAAATGGCCAATCTTATTGTGTCTTTGTCCGTGCACTTAGAGGTCTTGGCAAATGGAAATCTCCGTAGGATGCTCCAGCCACTGATAATTTCAAAGTTCTCTAAGGAAAGGATAAGTTCCAGCGCCTCCAAGCCCTCATGGAAAACAAACCCCCAAATAGTTCTATGTACAAAGCCCCAGGTGAGACATGGGGACAGACACGTAATGCCTCCTTCCTGGAGCACGACATTCAAAGACTGACATCAAAGATCACCAATCAAAGGTACATGAACATGTCTTATTCTATGTCCTGATTCGATTTCCCCTCAACTACATGAAACTGGTAAAGTTTGGTAAACCTGGTTATAATGTCCATTTATAAAGTTTACTGTACACACACATGTATTATACACATACACATAAACATTATCATTTATGATAAAGGTTATTACATACGTACATATACATAACATACGTGCACACGAACATAAAGAAAGTCTTATCCTCAAGGGAAGTCTGAAACCACACGCTATGGCCCCAACTCCTGGACTATGGCTGTGCTCGATGATTACATTCTGGCATGTAAACTTACAGGGAGGAGTTCTACTCTTCTGCCTACGTTGGAGAGGTGCTATAAGTATGTGCTCCATATCTAGCCTTATGGGTTTCCAGTAACTACCTGCAATTATATGAAGGTGAAGTAACGGCATTGACTGGGCAATCCAAAACGTTCCCAGGACTTTACATTCATCTTATCCAGCCTAATTTTGGAGTCCTGCAGCTTAAAGCTAACACAGGTATCTCAAAGGAGGAAATCCCAGCGCACAGACTGCAATTATATGACTTCAACAGGAGTGAGATGTATTTACCAGACTTCTTATAATATAGCGCCCCTATTAGTCCTTCAGTGAGAGAGAAATCTGAGACTTGTGTCTAGATTCTCATTCATTCTCATTCTCTCTATCTCTCCCTCCACCTCTTGCCCTTATCCTTCCTCTCACTCTCTTCTTCTCAACAAATGTGCCTTGAATGTCCACAATGTCCCATGATGTGTGAGATATGGCAGTGATCAGGACAGAGGTTTCTTGCCCTCACATATGGATCTTAGGCCACAGTGAGGACAAGCAGACAATAGATGAGCCAACAGGTTAACAAGGTAACGTAAGATTGTGCTTAGCGTGATAAAGGCCCCAAACAGGAACCCTGTGCAAGTGGAGGAGGAGAGAACTTCAGCTGAGGTGGCAAAGTAGGCCTTTCCCAACTGACTTGTTAGAAGATGTGTGAGCTGTGACCTGGAATGACAGGAACCGTCTCTAAGTAGCTCTGGGACAAGGGTTTTCCAAGTATTAGAGAACAGGCGACAGCAACAACAAAGGCTCTGGGGCAGGAACGAGTCTGACTTGTTCAAGGAATAGAACGGACTGTACAGCTGAATTGGATAAGGGGGAAGTGGCAGAGATTTGAAATGTGATATGTTGATATTACTAAGGATTAACATAAGAAAATTAAATGACTAGTACCTTCAAGATCTTAGTTTTAGTATATTTCAGACAGGATTATCAAGAGATTTAAAAACCCTTGAAGGAAAAATATATTAGCAAAACAAAGCAACCAAGTCCACATATTGAAAGGTATGGCCATTCATTAATTTTCCTTTGCCTACAGTCTTAGAAGAGGCAGAGGCTGGCTGGACTAAGTACACTTAACTTAAAATGCATCAAACACCAACTTGTAGGAAATGATCCTGATACAATAATTAACTCACAAGTACCTAGCTTTAATCAAATCACAATTACAGAGCATAGCCTACTGAGGTACAATATGTACACTGATGTGCCTTTAGGAGGCAAGAACCAATTAAAGTCATCTAAAAAGCTAGTAAGTATCAAGGAAGGAGGGAGAAGTCCACATGAAAAGAACTATATAAATTCAAAATATAACAGAATGAATCCCAATAATGCTATCTTTCCTTTCCATTCCTACCCCTAATCTTAAAAAAAAAAAAAAAAAAGCAAACAAAAGTACAAGAAATAGAAGACTACTGCAGATATTAGTCCAATCTTCTAATATGTGTGTCAATAAGCTCTCAGGAGCTTGAACTGGAGATAGTTAGGATTGATGTCGATATTCTAACGTTACAGGTATTAATATAGAGTGCAGTGGAGAAAACACAGACCCTGGGGCCACTTAGAACCCTGGTCAATATTAAGTTCTGGAATAGTGTGGTAAAGGTTTGGGAGGGGTGGATGTGGGGTGGAGGGGGTCAATGGGTAAAAACAAAACCAAAGGAGAATCTGTAATACTTTCAACAATAAAGATTAAACAAAACCAAAAAAACCCAGTT